AAAAAAAAAAAAAAAAAAGTCGGGCGAATCCAAAGAGTAAATCTCATAATTCCAACAACAGAACCAGACTAATTGTCAAAACATAAAACTTAATGGTGACACAAAAAAATTAAATAATACTTCTCATGCCATTATAGAATTCTAATCCCTCAACATTCTATTCAGATATTATATCACATATTAAAGTGTGGTAATTTTACGTTCAACATGCAGACCTCCACACACAAAAATTTAAGACGTTCAACAGTCTTTAGTCAAATTTCCATTGATCCAATTTTCCTGAGCCTAAATGGTTTTTAAGCTGTAAACAAACAAAAGTCTTAGATAAACAAATCCATATAACCTTTAGTAACTTGGGAAAAAAAACTAGCACAATTCTCACTTATAAACTAAAGAGGAAACAGATTGCAGTACATGCCACCAATTTGATGGTCTCAATATGGTAACTCGGTTATTGACTATTAGATCATAGGCTGACGACCAAACATGACAATGCTGGCCGCTATTATCCAATTGAAGTTGCAAAATGGTGAGACAGGCCTTTACAAAAGCCAGACGACTGAATCCCAGAAACTGAACCACTTACAAGGCCACCTGTGCAGTCATTGTGGATGCAGAGAGTCGAAAAAAGTATATGTGAAACAGCACGAGAGAAAGATACAGAAAGACTGAATTATTGAAACAAGTTTGAGTGAAAGACAAACGACGGCACAAAGGCAATTAGGAGCTTCTCATAAGACAAACTACGTAAAGTGGCTGGGGCAGCAAGATCCTTGTGTCTTTTTTACACGTAATCTACATCATCCAAGGTACATTCATACTGCATGACATACTAACTTCATATCAATTGCAGCCTAATATTGTTTCTCAAATAAAAACTGTTATCAGTTTATTCAATAGAACAAGTAAACTCCGTAGAATATAAACCTCGGTGATATACATACACAGGAGATTCTTAGTCAAATACTTTTGGGCAAAGTCTTGCAACGAAATTCCAAATATGGAGGCATAAAACACTTCATACTTTTGAGGCATCAGTTACAAATTACACACTATCCATGGCCTCCGGACAACAACACCCCCCATATAGGCTAATTCTACGAATTTCAATTAGATTATAATCCATAGCAACCCTCGTAAAGCATTGTGGGCAATTGGGCATCAAGTTCAACGTAATCAAGTATTACATTTATAATTACATCCTGCAAGTCCAGCATACTTGGTTTGTCGAACAGACAATTTTATAAAATTTCAAAAGCAAGCCTGTACACAAAATGATATGGTATGTTTGACAGAAGCATGACAGGCAGGCAGGCAAGGCTCGCACTGAAACCAATTCTACTCTAACAGCTTCAAAATCAGGTCATTTTCTTCTAACCAAAGCTCATTGTGCTTATAACAAAGTTCACAAAAACATGACGTGAAATAAGGGTTCAGCTTTTAGCAAGTAATTTTATCTCTGTACTCATTTCCAAAGGCCCATATCAAAATCCGACACCACATCGAACACTAATCTCCGATCAGCAAAATGCATACATAACATAGACAGATCAAGTTCATGGTAAGAACATAAATCTAAAACCGAATCAAACAGAACCACATAAAAAAAAAAGGAAAAATCTGAAACATAAAATACCAGAATCAGGGCGAATGCCATTGTACTCCAAATCAAATGGGATCTTGGAAAATTTGAGATAAATGTAGACGGGCAAGCATCTCGGGCAGGCGGTGGGCAGCCCAAAATAGGGCTTTCTAACCACAAGCGTTAGTCTCTCTCCTTCCTCTCTGCCACCTTCCATAACTCCCCGCAGCGTTTACAGACAACTTTTTGCTTCCTGAGTCGGATTATGCGACTCTAAAACCCTAACGAGGCCTTTACGTAATTTGCCTATGTTTTGGGTCCTTTGCACAATTTTTATTTTTTCATTTTCAAATGCGCTTCGTAATGGGGGTGTTCACGGTCCGGTTTTAACAGAAAAAAACCGTCAATCCAGACTGCGCATCGGTTAAATGGTCGGTTAAAAAAGACTTAAAAAATCCGGTGGTTAATTTTTTTTTAAAATCAGGAATAACCGGTCCGGTTAACGGATTACTTGCGGCAAACATCCGGTTTAACCGGACCGAACCGGTAAATATTAAAAAATTATAATAAATATATATACATTCAGTCATTCACTATAGTCGACAAATACAATACATTCACTTTCACGAGCCGGTTTACTGAACCGGCGGTTCCGAGTCAGTACATAAACATAAACCGCATGTTCTAGGAATTGAATCTAGGGATTTTCTACAGTCAGGTTCTTGTTGTACCTATTTAACATCAGGTACCCCTTATTTCACCGTTGGATTGATTAAAAAATGAACATCAACGATGGATTTAAAGGTACAAGGCAAAAAAGAATTTTGGTAGTCTTGTACCTTGTCTTGTACTCCTTGTTCTGGTTAAAACCTATTATACCCATCGTACCCCTTGTACCTATTTTATTTATTCTCGAGCCCCTTCATACTTATCTAATTTATATAACAATCCTACAAATTCAAAACAATTTTATCACTAACCTAAAAATATGTTTTACTATTCCAATCCTACAAATTTGTTTTTCGAATTAAATTGTTCTTTCTTCTTCAAATTGTTCTACACATATCTTCTTCAACTTTTTATTTTTTATTCTTTATTTTTTATTTTTTTGTCGTCGACCTCTCTCTCCTCTCATCTTGTTTCAGGTACCGCCGCCGTCATCGGTGCCGGCGCCGCTGGCCTCTCTGCCGCCATGGAACTTCGCAATCAAGGCCGCACCGTCGTCTTCTACAAGCGGGCAACCCAGGTTGGGGGGACCTGAGCCTACACATCAGAAACAGAGGTCGACCCGATGGGACTCGATCCGACCCGAAAAGGAAGTAGAGGCTCTGGGTCTGCCGCCTCCAAGAGAAAGAGATCTTGAGTAAAATTGAATTTGTTTTTAACTCGCGCAGTTTACCCTTTCTTAGTGCACTTTTTTCATATTTTTTTTTTAAATTGTGGTATTTTGTCTACTTAAAGGGCGCTGTTTGGAAAACAAATTTGTTTTTGCATCAAAATTCAAAACAAACTCGTGTAGTTTTTGTGCACTTTTTTCATTTTGTTTGGAATAGTAGACTTGTGGTATTTGTTGCTCTACATAAAGGGTGTTTTTCTCTGTGAGAAAAAGATACGTTTTGCCTTGTTTTGATGAGGGCAACCCAGGTTGGGGGGACCTGAGCCTACACACCAGAAACAGAGGCCGACCCGATGGGACTCGATCTGACCTGAAAAGTCATACACTCTAGTCTCTATGCCTCTTTGCAGACGAACTTGCCACGGGAGGTCATGGGCTTCCGGGCCTACCCATTCGTGGCTTGCGGGAACCCCGAGAGAGATCCGAGGAGGTTTCTAGGTCACGGTTAGGTTTTTGAGTATTTGAGAGATTTTGCCGACGAGTTTAGGCTCGGCAGGTGGTCAGGTTCGGGAGTGAGGTGTCCCATGTGGGGTTGGGGGAGGGTCGAAAATGGTCAGTGAGATCGAAAATTGGGAATGGGGGACATGGATACGATGAGGTGTACGACGCCATGGCAGTCTGCAACGGGCAATGTGTAGAGCCCTGGGTTGCAGATATACCTGGTAACGTCTTCTAGCCCGGTTCATATGTTCTTGTCTATGGGTGGCCAAACAATCTTTATGTGTAATTTTGTTGTTGAGCTGGTCTTTGTTGAGCACCTATTGCTAAAACATTTGTGTCTGTATAGTCTGTCTGTAGAAAAGTAGATCATTGTACTTTTTAATATGAAGATCAGGTGAGAAAGATTGTTTTTAAGTCACACAAATGAATGTGCTTATGTCCATCAGCTGCAAAAGTTGAATAGTTAGGATCAGCATAGTGTCAGGTGAGTAGAGATTGATTTTAAGCTACATTTTTTTTTAATTACAATAATATGATTTGTTTTCCACTCTGCTTTATGCTAATATGTTTGGCAAATGGAGCAAAACTAAAATAAGTAATGGTATATGATGAATAATTAGCTTTTGGTAAGTACTTTCCACATCATTAGACTTATGTGTGTTTGTGAAGCAGCAAAATAACTATATGGTTGGACCTGCTTTAATCTCCCTCACTTTATCACCATTCATCAGAAAAATAGGTGTTTCTTAATATGGGGCTCTATGATTTGTCTTCTATGATTTGTCTTGGAAAGAATTTCCATTTGCTTGTCTGAATCTGGTGAAATCATTTGATATCAAATTTAAATGTAGTTTTCTTTCACATTGTTGTTATCAGGAAATAGAACAATGCGAGTGTGTTGCACGTGAGACAAGCATCTCACGACGGTTGAGCTCAACTTGGGGGACCTGGGCTTCGAGGCTGCCATGGGCCTTGGGGTCGGTGGGGGCAAATGACACGATCTTCATGCATGGATTGCCCGGGCTGAACTATCTGGTGGGCGAGGTCAATGGGGTGGGCCGCTCGAGGGGGCTAAGGGTCCCGGGACGCAGTAGTCGGTGATCTCGTTCACGAAGAGGATGAATATGTTGATTTTGTACAAGATATATATGTTGATTTTGTACGTAATATGTTTCTTAACATAATAAATATGTTTCTTTGTAAAATGAACATGTCAACTTATAAGATGAACATATTATGTTATTAGATGAATATGTTTTATTATCAGCTGAATATGTTAAATTATAAGATGAACATGTTTCTTTTCTCAGATGAACACGTTTATTAACACGATGAATATGTTGATTTTGTACAAGATGATAAGTTGATTTTGTACGTAATATGTTTCTTAACATGATGAATATGTTTCATTGTAAAATGAACATGTCAAATTATAAGATGAACATGTTTTATTATCAACTGAATATGTTAAATTATAACATGAACATGTTTCTTTCTCAGGTGAATATGTTTATTAACACGATGAATATGTTGATTTTGTACAAGATGAATATGTTTCTTAACAAGATCAAGATGAATATGTTTCTTAACATGATTTTAACTAACCGTTTTATGAAGAAAGAAATAAAATCCATACTTATATTGGGCTTTATTAATAAAATTATATCATAAATTAGTTATAATTTGCACTAATATAAATAATTATTATGTTTCATGAAAATCTAAAGTTTGAAATAATTAAAAAACTGATTTTTTTTAATGTAGCTTTACAATTTTGTTGTAAATTATTTTATCATATTTTTTATCACTGTAAATATTAGTTTAATATGTAATTTACTGGTAAGTTTCGATCGTAACCACTACTAATGATTTTAAAAGTAGCCAATCAAAAAGATATGGATATTTGGATATGGAGAGGACAAGTCGACATGTATATAATGTTGTGTACAATTAATTTTTCATAATAAAAAATATTTTATTCTAATCTTTATTTATATTGCTGAATTTAAACTTTATGGAATTCTTATAATATAATTAAATGTACACGAGTATAAGAGTACTAGTTGTTTATTAATAACGAGCTTTTATCTACTCGTTAGCCAAACGTGAGATAACTGAGTTCACATTCAGCTCATTTACCAATTTTAACGTGTCAAATATGAATCTTACAATCCAAACTCGCGATTTAACTAAATTAAATTTTAAATTGATTAATTTAATATATACAATCATTGGTGATAATATATTAATCAATAAATTACTGTAAAAATTAATATACAGATATTATTAAAAATATATCTAATCAATCTACTTCCAAAATAATTTTATTTAAGTCAATTTATATTTAACAAATATTAACAATTGAGTACACAAAACTATTAGCAATGATATTAATATATTTAATATATGACAATGTTTCAGTATGATATGAACATGTTTAATCTTAGAATGAACATGTTTAATCCTAGAATGAACATGTATAAATACAAAATGAACATGTCTACCTTCTATATGACATGTTCTATAAACTTTTCCAAAACATGAAGAATGAGCACCTATTCAATATATGACTATGTTTCAGTATGATATGAACATGTTTAATCTTAGAATGAACATGTTTAGATACAAAATGAACATGTCTACATTATATATGACATGTTCTCTGAACTTTTCCAAACAGGAAAAATAAGCTCTTATTTAATATATGACAATGTTTCAGTATGATATGAACATGTTTAATCTTAGAATGAACATGTATAAATACAAAATGAACATGTCTACATTCTATATGACATGTTCTCTGAACTTTTCTAAAACAGGAAGAATGAGCACCTATTTAATATATGACAATGTTTCAGTATGATGTGAACATGTTTAATCTTAGAATGAACATATGTAAATACAAAATGAACATGCTTACATTCTATATGACATGAATATGTTTCATTGTAAAATGAACATGTTAAATTATAAGATAAAAATATTATGTTATAAGATGAATATGTTTTATTATCAGTTGAATATGTTAAATTATAAGACTTAAAATATTTGAACTTTGTCATTCAATAATTAACTAAAAAAGATCATGATATTTTATTTATTATCACTTTATTTGAGTCACTGATTTTCAAGATGACCGCTAAATAAATAGTGAGTATTGAATATTTTATTTATTGATAATATCTTAAGATTGTTAAATGATTTATGGTTTTCTTAATAAATTGCGAGTTTATTTGCGCATAACTATCCTATAAAAAATAAGATAACTGTTTCAGTAATATTTATTTAATTTGTAAAATGAACATGTCAACTTATAAGATGAACATGTTTCTTTCTCAGATGAACATGTTTATTAACACGATGAATAAGTTGATTTTGTACGTAATATGTTTTTTAACATGATGAATATGTTTTATTGTAAAATGGACATGTCAAATTATAAGATGAAAATGTTATGTTATAAGATGAATATGTTTTATTATCAGTTGAATATGTTAAATTATAAAACTTAAAATATTTTAACTTTGTCATTCAATAATTAACTAAAAAATATCATGATATTTTAATTATTATCACTTTATTTGAGTCACTGATTTTTAAGATGACCGCTAAATAAATAGTGAGAATTAAAGTGTTAATGTAATAAATATTTGATTTATTGATAATATCTTAAGATTGTTAAATGATTTATGATTTTCTTAATAAATTGAGAATTTATTTGCGCATAACTATCCTATCAAATAAGATAATTGTTTCAATAATATTTATTTAATTTGTAAAATGAACATGTCAACTTATAAGATGAACACGTTATGCTATAAGATGAATATATTAAATTATAAGATGAACATGTTTCTTTCTCAGATGAACATGTTTATTAACACGATGAATAAGTTGATTTTGTACGTAATATGCTTTTTTAACATGATGAATATGTTTTATTGTAAAATGGACATGTCAAGTTATAAGATGAAGATGTTATGTTATAAGATGAATATGTTTTATTATCAGTTGAATATGTTAAATTATAAGACTAAAAATTTTTAACTTTGTCATTCAATAATTAACTAAAAAATATCATGATATTTTAATTATTATCACTTTATTTGAGTCACTGATTTTCAAGATGGCAGCTAAATAAATAGTGAGGATTAAAATTTTAATGTATTAAATATTTTATTTATTGATAATATCTTAAGATTCTTAAATGATTTATGGTTTTCTTAATAAATTGAGAGTTTATTTGCGCATAACTATCCTATCAAATAAGATAACTGTTTCAGTAATATTTGTTTGATTTGTAAAAGGAACATGTCAACTTATAAGATGAACGTGTTATGTTACAAGATTAATTTTATTATCAGCTGAATATGTTAAATTATAAGATGAACCTATTTCTTTCTCAGATGAACATGTCTATTAATACGATGAATATGTTGATTTTGTACAAGATGTATATGTTGATTTTGTACGTAAATATTTCTTAACATAATGAATAAGTTTCTTTGTAAAATGAACATGTCAAATTATAAGATGAACACATCTAATATCTTCTTAGATGTTAAATTAGCTCGTTTTTTTACTAGTTTTTGTCGACAACACATCAATTTGAAAATCTTTCAGATCAAGTTGAACATTGTTTAGAACGAGATGAACATTTTCTAGATAAAGTTGAATACATATATTTATCAACGCTAAACATCGATCACTCGATTATCTTATCAGCGAATAATTAGTCATATCCCCTCGATTGTCTTATCAGGATTAGAAGGGTTGGACAGTATGATCCCACAGAACCTAAGGCCACGTTTCTTGGCTTGGTTGAATGCTCAATTGAGAGATGTAATACTTCGACTGAAGCCATCCGTGTTGCGACAATGAATGGGTATTATGTCCACACAAGCTCGCCATTTAACAATGTTGTCTAGGCTGCAACATATTCTTTTTGTTAGAATTTAACTCTCTTCGGTATATTTTGAATCAATTCAAATACATTGTTGTGCATAGAAAAAGTGGCCCGACTAGACTTACTCAGGACAATAGGGTGAAGGTACGAGGAATGCATTCCCAGAATCAACCATGGCGAAGACGAGAATCTCGATTGTGGAGTTTGAGCCAGTTGTCAGCACCATCTGTGCAGGGTTGGAAAGCAGTGGTTTCTCCATTACTTGTGACATGAAATCTGCTACAGCTTGCACATTCTTTGAAAACTAGTTTTCTATTTTCTCAAATAACACAGTTGGGCTAAAATTTGGGTGATCTAAATGAACACCTTTTAACATTAATTTCAATTTCTGATGTTAAATATGAATGAACAAAGAACACCTTATAGTTTTCAACTCCATCAACCATCAAGTGACTGATATGTCGCGGTCCCACTAATGCTCGACCCACTAAGATCACTCGTTAGCCAATCTCGAACCAAATCCCACGACAACTAGTTACAAGAAAGAAGATGAAATTAGAAAGATTTCATATTCTGTAAGTAAGTAAAACACAGTTCAACTTGATGAAAATACAGCCTAAGTACCGAACAACAGTTCTCATTGAACACATACTAGTTCAACATTCAGAATTGTATGCATTTACTAGGTTGGAACATTTCGCTTGTTGCAATTTGACAGCTTAGTTAGATGCAGACCTCATGAGTCATGAGTCATGACCACCATATTACAACTACAAAATCGCACTGAAGTGACTTCTCAACTGTAAAGAGCGTAAGCTATTAATAATTGACAAAATGATAACACCATCAATTGCTATTAATAATTGACAAAATGATAACACCATCAATTTAACAATGACAGAGAAACTCAAACATGATACAATTAACAATGACCTTAATATAACTACGTCTAAATTGAAGGTGCTCCAAGCTTAAGAACATGGACAGGAAATTATATAGAAGCACAAAGGGAAAACGAAATTCTTATAGCATTCTAAATTCAAACCGAGGACAAGAAACTACAATCAACAAAAAAATGGACATTTTTCATAAATATTATGATCCAAAATCCAATTAAAGGAATCAAACAACAACATAACAGTGAATACTGGATAAAAAACATGTCATGAATACAAAAAGGCAAGATTTTGGCCTA